ATCGGCGACGACAGACGCAGGTGATGGCAATATGTACAGACACATCTGTGTCTGTACATAAAAAGTTAATCAGACTTCACAAATATGGGCCACAGAAATAACACATATATGTCCAATATGATACATTACTTTGTCAAACTCTGCCTCCGCCTGTTTCCTCATGTCTTCCAGAGGACCAATTAGAGCAGCTATCTTTTCTTCCTCCAGTTTACAGCGCTCTCTGGCCTGGAGTGAGAAACAAAGGAGACATTAAGACACACAGAAGCAACTCATATAATCCATTAAAGGTGGACTCAAAACTAAATGCCTTGCTTCCAATAATATTAAGAACATGTTGTATGAGGGGATCTCTATCCAGATGACCTCAGCATAGGGATATCTCACTTCACTTTAGACGATAAAATTACACCTCACCTACAATTATTCACCATCCTTTGCCATGATAATAAAAAATGTGTTATTGTATGTCTGATATGAGTGTGTGTGTGTGTGTGTGTGTTTGTGAGGGTGTATGTGTGTATAAATACACGTACAAATAAAATAAACACATCAAAAACAAGCAACTTGTTAAGTATGAGTATATTAAGTCTTCATAAAGTTCACCTCCACAAACTCCTGTTTCTGTTCTTCCACTTTCTTCACGTGACCTTCCACCAATTCCTGCGCCGCTCTGTGCCGAGGACGTAACTCCGAGACCCTGTCCTTGTATTTGGCGATACAATCAAAGGCTTCGTTCATCTTCTCAAGGCCTGCTTGGTACTTGTCTATCTTACTCTGAAAGGTGAAATCACATTACAGTACACCGTCATGCTTGTTGTATGTACATTAAACATAATCTATTCAAGAAAAATTTTTGATTAAATACATAATATTCTTAAGTTCAAAAATTTGATTAAAGACTTACAATTTATAAGTAATTCAAGCTTGTTTGTTTTTTATTCTACAAAGAAATAATAGAAATCAAACTATTTTAAATAACTTTGTAAATAATCAGTGAAGTGGGCTTCAACAATAGAAATCCATATGGTTATCAAGCTTCATCAATACCGAAAATCTCACCTTTTCTTTCTTGGCAATACTTGCAGACACCACCTTAAAGATGTGGACAAACTCCATAAATGTCAGTGGGGTGTAGAACTTGAGCTGTGCCTGGCTGTACTGTGAGTAGAGCCTCTCTACCGCCTCCCGTGAGGAGTTGTGGATGTAAGCCATGGCGGAGGAGACGGCCTTCACCTGTTCTAATGTGTTGATTTCTGACCATGGAACTGGTATCTGAAAAAAAAAAAAGGTCTCATCTTTTAACCATATACTAATGCTAAAGGACTATTCCAGCAATCAGGTACTAACTTCTCAGGACTCTTCCCCAATATATATTTACTTTTGAGGACATAAACTACAACCAAACACTTACGCTTGACAACTTTCCGCACAATCCTATACTTACCCTTGAAGACTCATCTCGTAACCATGTCTCAGCAACTTTGACGTAGGCGTCATGGTTCCAGGGTTTGTACAGATCCACACTGATCACATGATGTATCAGGGAGGGACATTTCCGCAGCAGATTGTGCATGGGGCTGTGTTTGGTGTACACTGTGGAACCTGCAATGGTGGCCAATAACAAACAATATTAACTACTGCAGTAGTAGGAGTTGAGCAAATACGTATGGTACAAAATTCTCATGGAGCTTGTGGCAATGTTGAATAGGCATTTTTATTGAAATGACTATGAAATAAATATACTAATATAAATGTGGATTAAATTGAACTTAATACTTAAAAACAATTAAATAATAAACAAAACGCTCTCTATTTCTACTTAAATTTTATGGTGCAGGTAAGAAATTATTTCTACATAATAGTAAATCTAAAGCATTAATTTTTCAACATCAATATGCACTTCAGCACAGAAAGTTATCACCTCTGTACCTGAATAATTTAGAATGATCACCACGTGCAGGTTCTGTTTGACTCTCCGTATGAACTTGTCATTGAAGGTCTGTTCCACCTTGTCCACCTTCCTGATCTGGACCTGACCAGGGGTCATCTGGGTGGCTATCTGCTGGAGTTCTTCTGTAGTGTACAGCCCTGGGCAGGTACCTTAGTAAATATGGACAAATAGGGAATTAAAATTCTCATTCTAATTATCTCCTGTAGTTCGACGGTGACAGGTACCTTAGAAAATATGGACAGATAGAGAATTTAAATTCTCATTCAATTTATCTGCTGGAGTTCCTTTGTAGTGTACAGACCGGGGCAGGTACCTAGGAAAATATTGACAGATAGGAAATTAAAATTCTCATTCTAATTATTTGTTGAAGATCCTTGGTAGTGTATAACCTAAGCAGGTACCTAAGAAAATATTGACTCAGAGGGAATTAAAATCCTCATTCAAGTTGTCTGCTGGATTAATGTCTTATTATTTTCAAAGCATGTACTAACCTTCTACCATATACGAGCACACATCAAGCAGACATTCCTCCCCAAGTTCCTCATGGATCATCAAGACGACAGGTTTTCCCACAATGGCAGCCGTCTGACTACAGCGTCGCATGTGCTCACGTAAAACTTCTCTGTTTCTGGCCAGGTCTCCTTGGGGCTTGGGCTCAAACAGCTGGAAGATTATATCAAACTTAGTAGAAAAATAGCTTGTCAGAACAATACTAAAACTCCACATAAATCTTAATTGTCATCTAAATATTACGTAACATAGACAGAAATTAAAGTAAGCTTTTGGTATGTCTCAATTTTAACCATTTCATAAATTTCTTTCTATATTTCACTTTTATAAAGTACATCATATGCTTTGGCATCATAATTGGTGTTAATATCTCCTTGAAAGAAATAAGAAAGAATGTATATCTGAGATAAAGAAAGATCATCGTCTAGAAATGACAAATGGCCAACTACAATGCTGGCCAATACGGTACCTTGCAGTGAGCTATGTGTGCAGCTAGTCTGGTCACTGTGGCACGTCCAGTACAGTAACTCATGCCCAGTTGTAGAGAGTGACCATTGGTCATAGCCTACAATATTGTCACAGATGTTATTATTATATATTCAGTACAGTAACTCATGCCCAGTTGTAGGGAGTGACCATTGGTCATAGCCTACAATATTGTCACAGATGTTATTATTATATATACAGTACAGTAACTCATGCCCAGTTGTAGGGAGTGACCATTGGTCATAGCCTACAATATTGTCACAGATGTTATCATTATGTACAGTGAGTGCAATCTGTTAAAACTGATGATAAAATGAAATGCCTTGGAAAAATCCACTTACAAGTGCATATATCCTCATAATGAACAAATAGAGTTAGCATGCCAAGAAATCATCAAAAAAGGATTAAAAAA